GTGAGTGAGAGAGAGAGAGCACGAGCCTGGGGAGGGGCATAGGGAGAGGGAGAAGCAGACTCCCTACTGAGCAAGGAGCCTGATGTGGGGTTCCATCCCAGGACCCTGAGATCGTGACCTGAGCCGAAGGCAGACACTTAACCAATGGAGCAACCCAGGCGCCCCTTAAAATCTAAATCTTGATATCAATACAATTTTGAGCAATTATGGGTAAACCAACATAGTAAACTAGTAGATCATAGTACTTAGAGAATACAAGAAGTCAGTTTATTCAACTCCAGCCTTCTGGCATATCCAGTATTTCTAATGAAGCCACTAAATTCCAGAAATTTTAAGTAAGTTTCCCTGGTTATATAGTTCATAAAAAATCTAAAGTTAGAAAAAATTTTAAAAATGGAACAAGAATTTCAGAAGTCTAATATGTCATACCCTAATATAGGGAGAAATGGTTTGAATGCATGTAGCTATATGGAAACTGAATGGTAAGACTGAGAGATCATAGGCATGGTATAAATATACTGTACAGAAATATGTGAATATGTAAATCATTTTATCAAAAGTGGATAAGAGGAAAAAATCCATCCAAAACAACAATCAGTTTTGTGAGAACCATATTTGAAAATGGGTAAATAAGGCATAGAGGAATATAGATTCATTAACAGAAAGTAGTTCAGGGACTTAATCACTAGAAGGTCACTATAAAGGAGAAAGATAAAATCCTTATTTCATCATTTTTTTTTAGCCCAGATACGAACTTTTGATGTCCATATCTAAATGTGTTTTCTTACCTTAGGGCAATTCCTTATAGGATTATGAATATGCTTTAAAATCATAAAGACCCAGAAAAGACTTGCCCAGCCTTGCCACGTGTGAGACAAACCAGTCAACAGCAGTATGAACAGAACTTCTTGTCAGTCCTAGAGGTGACCAGCTGCCCAAGAATAATGGCAAAGTATACTAGGTCAGAACTAACAAATGTTGTACCACTTGGGAGTTACTTAGGCTAATGAATAGTTAAAATATACATGGTTTGTATAATCATTTCTACAGAAAGAATTTCAGCTATTGCCACCCTAAATTTTGTTTTTGAACTACATTTTCTTCGTGTATTTTAGTCATACATTCTCTGTCACTAAGTGAGAATACTATACATTTCCTTTGCTTTGACTCTCCTGAAGAAAGACTGGTACCCTTGAGTAGTTTCATATAATGACATAGTAGTAGTCTACCAGTTTATCCCCAAACTGGTTATGACTACAGTTCTGTCCCTTCTGGTCTGCACGTATACCCAACATGTATGGCGCTATAAGGAAGTAAATTCAATTTTCCTTAGAAACAGGCCAGAACCTGAACAACGTAAGTGAATAATAACAATTATCTGAAAAAATAATTATTATCTGAGCCTGAGCTCCCCCCATCTCAAAGAATAAACAAAGATTATTTTTATCCTAGAGGGAAATCAAAACAATTTGTCTAATAGTCTAGCAAAACATATTCTAGCAACTGGGTATGCACACCAAGTGTCTATTCAGTGATACTGGACTCTGAGTTAAAAGTAAAAAAAAAAAAAAAATACAACTACTTATGTGTGGAAGGACAATGAATTTTAAAAGAAGGTTTATGAAGTCCCATGCCCCTTGACCTTCTCTTATTACCATTGCCTGGTGAACCTTTTCAAGATGAATGGTGTATATCTTTATCTATGACAGTCCATTTAGCAATCACAATATTTTCTATAAGTTAGACAAATTGTCCAGTCACTTAACAAGAAGAAAGGCCAACATCAATTGCAGCAAAGGTCACTCAATCCAGTTTTGTTCTATATTAAATTGTCATCAGATCTGAACGGTGATTTCATCAATAACACATCTAACTAGAATGTTCCAAAATTTAGAAATCAACTGCCTGCCCTATGGGGAAAAATGAAGTAGGTAAATAAGATACAATTTTCCAAAGGAAACTCACAGGGTATTGAACTCAAGATTATAGTCTCCCAGGAGTCTCATTTATCATTTAAACTAAATATGACTTTTAGAAATGACACTGTTGATTCAACGTTTGTCCTTATAGAGATTAAACAAGTGACTGTCATGTGCACTTTGTAGATTTAACTTTCTCTGTCAAACTAGCCAAGCAATAAATATATGAAAGAAGCAAAGTATATTATGATATTATGACCTGAATCTAAAAATGAGGAGCCTAGCACACAGATCCAGAATGAGGGACAACTGACCTGAATTCTTCCAGAGATTAAATGCCATGAAAATAGAGGGAGGCAGAAGAACTCAGATGGAGGGAAAATAAAGAGACAGCTCAGCCAATACAATGACTGGGCCTTGGTTTATTCGGGAAAGAACCACCATACAGCTAAAAAGAACATTTTAAAGAAAATTGGAGAAATCTGAAAATGTGGGAAATTTGAAATTGCTGTTCATTGTCTTAGGTGTGGTAATGTAATGTGGCTTTGTCGGAGGAGGTCTTTATTTCTAGAAAATGGAAACTGAAGTGTTTAGGGGGAGGTGTCATGACATTTGTAAACTTTTAATAACTTGGCAAAATGGAACTGTGTGTGCATGCATGTGAATGTGTGTGTGTGAGTGTGTGTGTATGTGTATGTAGACTGAACAACTGTGGGAAGAAAGGCAGTTCATGAATCTAGGGGAAGGGTGTACAGGGATATATTGCATATTATTTCAACTTTTCTGGGGATTTAACACAATGTACTTTTAAAAAAATCAAATGTATTCCTATGCTCAAAACCAAAAAATGGTATCCATTTTACTTGGAACCAGACCATTCTTTTTTTTTTTAAGATTTTATTTATTTGACAGAGAGAGACACAACAAGAGAGGGAACACAAGCAGGGGGTGTGGGAGAGGGAGAAGCAGGTTTCCCGCTGAGCAGGGATCCCGATGTGGGGCTCAATCCCAGGACCCTGGGACCATGACCTGAGCCAAAGGCAGACGCTTAATGACAGACCACCCAGGCGCCCCAGAACCAGACCATTCTTTACAGTGGCCTGCAAGAACCAAAGTGATGTGGTTCCTCATAATCTCTCTCAACATTTTGCCCACAATTTTTCTCCCTTTGTTAATTCACTCCAGCCACACTGGCATTTCTGTTGTTTCTCAAAAATATCTGGCATGCCTTTGCATTACCAGTTCCCTCAGCCTGAAACATTATCTGCCTAGATGTACTAATTCCTTACTTAAAGACATCTCAGTGGAACCTAATTTACCTAAAGATACAGATGTAGTGAAAAGAAGGGGCACCTGCACCCCAATGTTCATAGCAGCAATATCCATATAGCCAAACTGTGGAAGGAGCCGCAATGCCCTTCAACAGATGAATGCATAAAGATGTGGCATATATATATATATATATACAATGGAATATTACTCAGCCATCAGAAAGGATGAATACCCACCATTTGCATTGATATGGATGGAACTGGAGGGGATTATGCTAAGTGAAGTAAGTCAAGTAGAGGAAGACAACCATCATACGGTTTCATTCATATGTGGAACATAAGAATAGCATGGAGGACCACAGGGGAAGGGAGGGAAATCCAAAGGGGAGAAATCAGAGAGGGAGACAAACCATGAGAGACTATGGACCCTGGGAAACAAACTGAGGGTTTCAGACGGGAGGGGAGGGGGATGGGGGAGAGGATAACAGGGTGATGGATATTAAGGAGGGCACGTGCTGTGATGACCACTGGGTGTTTTCCGTAACTAATGAATCACTGAACACTACATCAAAAACTAATGATGTACTATACAGTGGCTAACTGAACATAATAAAAAAATGTAATACATAAAAACTATACAAAAACTATATCATGAGTTAATAAATTAATGAGTATTTTTGAATTTAAAAAATAAAATTTAGGGGGCGCCTGGGTGGCTCAGTTCGTTAAGCAACTGCCTTCGGCTCAGGTCATGATTCTGGAGTCCTGGGATCGAGTCCCACATCAGGCTCCCTGCTCAGCGGGGGGTCTGCTTCTCCCTCTGACCCTTCCCCTCTCATGCTCTCTGTCTCCCATTCTCTCTCTCAGATAAATAAATAAAATCTTTAAAAAAATAAAAAATAAAAAAATAAAATAAAATTTAGATGTTAATTTATCTGTAATCACAAAAGAATAAATTTGTTACTCCAATGCACATACATTAACCTCCTGTACATTTTTTAAAAGATTCATTTATTTTATAGAGAGAGAGAGAGAGCACATGTGAGTGGGGAGAGGAGCAGAGAAAGAGGGAGAGAATCTCAGGCAGACTCCCCACTGAGCATGGAGCTGTATCCCAGGACGCTGAGATCATGACCTGAGCTGAAATCAAGAGTCAGACACTCAACTGACTGAGCCACCCAGGCACTACTACCCTCTGTACATTTTTTATATCATTTCTCAAATTGTTATACATTTGATTACACAGTATTCCTACTTTTATTATATATATTGCCCCAAAGTGAGCTCCAAGAGGGATGTTCTTTGGGTTTTTTTATTCACTGAATAACTTAGAAGAGTCCCTGGCACATAATAGATTCCTAAGTAATTCTTGTTGAAAGCTTAATGAATGAAGAATGGGTTTTTATGGCTTTCCTTGAAGTTAGAAAATGGAAGATCTGAGTGCAGTTCTGTGTTGGAACACAATTAGTTGGGGAAGATAAAAGACCAAAGAGGAAACAGGTCAGTATAGGGAGAATCTGGGAGGAGATCCAAGGAATAAGAAGTTGGAATGAGAGATGACCTCAAGATACCCTAGATACTGGGTCACTTTTACAATATGAATGAGGAGTTGAAAAGGGAGTGAGGTAAACATATGAACTATCCTCTAAATGTTTTGTAATGTGAGAAAGCTCATTTGCAATCAATGCAAACATAATCTAATGAGATGTACATGAAATATTTTATAAGTGATGAGCCAGAAATAATCAGAATTTAAATAAGACCATACTTGTCAGACTATTTAGCATCCTAACCCAATGATAATACTTACGTTAATGTTGATATGTATTCCCTGTCTTCAGAGCTCATCTGCAGAACCTGGACCTCTACCAATGCCACCTGTCCTACAATATATCAAAGGATATTGGCAAATGGAACCATATTCTTGTCATGAGGCAAAACTACCTAGTAAGGTCTCCATATTATTCAAAAGTATTAGTATCACCTGTGCAATTATAAAAGACCTTGACACCATAGAAAATATAGGACCAGTGACATACAATGCATCTTTGTGGCAATGTAGAGTCACTTAAACTGAGACAGGAGAGAGATGGTTAAGATTCCTGAGGCTGAAAGGCATAAACTCAAAAGCCTCTTTTCAGGATATGCAGTACATCATCACTTTTCTTTTCCTGGGTACTAGTGGTACCTAGGAGATTAGTGATACATATGACCAAAAGTGAGGTACACTTTACCATATGATTCTGAGGTAAGGGACAGACTTCTTGAACAAAGACAGTGAAGTCATGGTTTCATTTAAAAAATGTTGGGAGACTTTCCACATGTTAAATATATATATCTTAGGGGTTTTTTTTAAAGATAAAATTAAGGACAATCTACTGTACATTGTTAATTTATAAAGCTTTTGAAGCTTTATCTCAGAAGATAACATTTAAATGAAAATATATATTATGAATTACAATCATGTGGTTTACAAGTTTTCTAGAATGCAATCCTTTATGCTTTCAAACACATGGCCTACCATAATACTTTCAGTGGATTTTAAAATAATCACTTGTATAGCGGCTTATTCTGGAAAAGTTATTTCAAACATGTTTGTAACCAAACAATACTTAATTATTAAATAATCAATTGTGGTGGTCCCTTGGTTGGAACTTAGAAAGCGAGTCCATAGGTTATCGCTGGGCTGCCATTAACATTAACTTGTGATAATAAATGAGTTTAACTAGACATTTATCTTTTCTGTTCGGGATCCTATCCCCTAAGAAATGGTCCTTAGGGAAACTCACTTGTCCAAGCAATATTCTACTGAACAGTGTTTTGTCAGAAACACTGCTGGTATTTACATCTAGGCAGTTACTACTCCTATTTAATCCTATCTCACCTGATTTATTAATTTTGGCAAAAAGACCTTGAGTCCCTACTATTTACAAAGTAGTACCTGCAGCTTTTCTATTTATTTATATCAAATATTTCTATTTACCTCTTTACTTACATCCACTGTATTTATTTATACCCAATAAATATTTGCACATTTAGTTTTACTTGCTAGCAGTTTAGTTCTAAATGAGAAATATTTCAATGAGTCTTCCTCCTAACTTTAAAAATATCTTTATGACTACCTACAATATGCAGCAATTATTAATTTCAAGCAACTTAAAAACTAAATAATGTAAACAAGCAATATTTTTGAAAACCGGATATTTCATTTATATTATTCTAATCTTATATTGCACTTTATTGCCACTACTGCACTTAATGCTAATATGAAATATTATGAAATATGTCAAAAGATCTGTTGGAGGTTGACGGTGAGTAGTGGTGAGTTAAACATTCATACCACTATTTCACACTTGTTCATTCTTCTTTTACGTTCTGAATTAACAATTCTGTGATCTTTTATGTAAATTTTAAAAACTAAGAATTTAAAAATACTTGAAGAAAAAATACATCAAGTTGTTATCACACACACACAAAATTATATTATTGTCAATTACTTACTGGAATCCTACTTTATCATGCTCAAAAGCCTTAGTTAATCAATGAAAGGATCAAGGTTAGATCAAAGTTAATTTTAAGTAATTAGCGTTTAAATAATTAATGCTGCACTCACCCGCAAAACTAAATATTTATTTTGCTAAAGGGAATAATAATATTCCAAAAATTATATTTTAACTGTAAATGCAATAATCTGGTTTAATCTTAGGTTTGCTTAATATCTGATCTTAATGAAATTACTCTAAACTTAAAATTATGTAATATATATTCTGCTTTTCTAAAGTTGAGAATGTACTTTAAAGAGCAAGGTTAATCTTCATGGTTACCCACATTTTACCAGTGTTCTCCAGGAAAGGGACTAATATTATCAGTTAGAAATTAGCAAATGATAGTCTCATTCTGACCTTTGACCTTTATCATTATTCAGCTCTTTCTGCTATATTCTGCTCCAAGGACTAAATACAGTATGAAAAATGAATCTTAAATAGCATTATCACAGATAATTCTAGATTGCTTGATTTAAATGATCGGTTTTAAACTTCTGATATTTTGAGAAAAATATACACATCATTTCCTTTTTAAAAAATATTTATGTACACTTTGCAAAACATAATAACACTAAAGCAAGGTCAATATTTATGGGTTAATACTCTATCTCCAAATCTAGTGAATATAGTGAAATATGTCAAGAGCTCTTGGCTAGATAAAATTATTTATGGTACAGTAAAACATCATTTTTGTAGTATTTTTATTTTTTTAATAAATGTGAAATTTGAAAAGGAGATAAATGTGAAAAGAAGAAATCCATTTATATCTGTAAATATGTCTAATAAATACATGAACATGTAAATGTTTGTATTTTTCTTTTTGAGATCTAGAAAGCTAAAAAAGAGGAGATAATTTCTTCATACATGTACCCATAACATCTTTCCTTTTTAATTTCCCCCCCCAGAGACTAATTTGTCAAGCCTGGAAAAGATACATATATTAATACTGACCACTAAAAGATTCTTCATCACAATTAATATTATGAAATATCTTTATGACTTATACTTTAAAATCCCATAAATATATTTATAATTATTTCTCCTAAACATAAAAATCAACAATGGCATTTTTCAACTTGGTAAAAATCGGTCCTAATTGCACTCTAGGCATTTCTAATAATAAAAAGGAATAACAATCAAAGAGGTTTAATTTAATGCTCGATAGAAAAAATATTTTAAAAGGACAGAATATGAAGCCATTGAAGATGTTATAATACAGAGAGAAAAGTCTGATGTGAAAAAATTAGTGTACACTTATAATAATTCAATACAGATATAGAAAATAAACATAGCCAATCAAAATAGCTTATTTAAAACACTGATAAATGAAGTGATAGTCATCAAATTTCTATCTATATTGAATTGATATTATAAAGATAGCAGTTATTCTCAGATTATTCTAGGCAATCCAATCAAAATTCCAGTGACATTTTTTCCTGAAGTTTGGAAAAGACACCAAAGTTCACCTGGAAGAAGAGACCAACAATAGCCACAACAGTTTGAGGCCTTATCTTTTTTAAGAAATAATTTTTTTTAAAAATTACAATTAATACTGATACTACTCATGAGAAATCAACAATGATGTTAGCAAAATAGAATACAGAACCTAAATAAGAATCTAAGAATTTCATATGTAATAAAGGCACTATCACGTATTTGTTGAGAATGAAAGGATGAATATTTTTGAGACATCAAAAGACACTCCCTTAGAGTCCACAGTAACACAAAATAAATTTCACATAAATGTAACCGTTAAATGTAAAATCAATATTAAACAATAACAGCATTAGGAGAACTACTTAACAATCATTACAGACAGTGGGAAATGTACTTCTAAATATGAAAACAATGAATTACTACACAAAGAGGAAAAGTCAAACACATTTGATATCATGATTTTGAATTGTGACATGGTAAAATTATAAAAAAATTAAAATATATATTAAGGAAGAAAACTCTATATAAGGTGGTTAATAAAAAGCCTATTATTAATGAAAAAAACAAATCCACAGAGAAAGATGAACAAATGGCATAAAGAGACCATTCACAAGACACAAGTAAATTGTGAGAAATTATAAATAACTTTACTTAATAATCTGAAAAATAAAATAATACAGTGTTCCAACAATAAAATTACCCAAGCTTAGGTTATCAGCATCATCATTATCATCAGCAGCATTGGCAAGCATTTGCTGAAAATGTCACTTACATACAGCCAGCAGGAATATAAATTAGAATAGTAATTAGTAAAACAATTTGCTAAGAATCATACGATTGGGCTTGTTTTTATGCTGGTAAGTCTCTATCTAGAAACGCAATCTAAAAAAATTAAATAAAAGATTGTTTACTGCACTATTCCTTGTAATAAAAAGATGAGATTAACACATCTATTAGGATGGCTATTATTTTAAAAATGCAGAAAATAACAAGTGTTGGCAAGGCTGTGGAAAAAATGGAACCTTTGTGTACTGTTGATGGGAATGCAAAATCGGACACAGTCATTGAGGAAAACAGTATAGTGGTTCCTCAAAAATTGAAAAATAGGATTACTAGAAATTACTAGAATTGATCTAGCAATTTCACTTCTGGGTATGTACTCTAAAGAAAAGCAGAGTCTTGAGGGGTATTTGCATGCACATGTTCATAGCAGCATTATTCACAATAGCCAAAAGGTGGAAGCAACCCAAGTGTCCATTAATGAATGAGTAGATAAATAAAAAATGATGTATACACAAGATGGAATGTTATTTAGCCTTAAAAAAAAAAAGGCAATTTTGGCACATGATACCACATGGATGAATCTTGAAGACATTATGCTAAGTAGAGTAAAGCAGCTATGAAAGGACAGTGACTGTAAGATTCCACTTATAGTACGTATCCAAAAGGAGAAAGTAGAATGGTGGCTGCCAGAGCCTGGGGCAAGGAGGGTTACTATTAAATGGCTAAAGAGTTCCATGTTTCAAGACGAAAAATGTTCTGGAGATGGAGGATGGCATTCGCTGCACAAACATGTGAACATCCTGCCCCAGAAATGTGCACTTAAAAATAGCGAAAATGGTAAATGTTACATTGCATACTTTACCATAGTTTTAAAAAATTAAAAAGGAATCAAACTAAAAGTCCCATAGATTAATTAAAAATACCTATGAGCATTCAGATAGTTACCAATTTTCCTAATTTTCCCCCAGAACACTCTGACTACTGTGATTATAAAGGTATGTTTGGTAAGTAAAATAATTGATACTGGGTATTCTCTTCAAAGGTAAGTTGTTGATGGGGCAGGCTTCCTGGGGAGACCTCTTCCGAAAGTGAAGCAGATGTTTCCTAAGACACGGCTGGCCCGAGGGAGTTGTCATTTCAATGAAGCAAACTGAAAATGAATCTCAGGATAGCTTCTACTGGGGAGAAAATATGCCTCTTTCCAGACCACTAAAGATCTGAAACATGGAAGTTAGGGCATATATTTCATTTTCTCCTCCAGGGCAAGCTAACAAATTTGTAGAAGAAGCTGTTCTAACCTCACATATGAAATTTTGCCCCAGAGACCAAATCTGCATATGAAAAATCAGTCCCAATAATGGAACACATCAAGCTGCTGTAACTACAATGCCTGGGAGGAAAATGTTGAAGGCTTTATAATTTTTCAGAATCCCCTAGAGAAAAAAAAAGAAAATTAAAAAAAGCCCTTTCTTTATTATCTGGTCACTTTTCACAATCTCATTTGCTAATAGGGAGGGTGGTCCATTATAATCAGATCTCATTTTCTATTTTATGACTTTATAGAAAACCTACTTTAAATTTATATTATGGTGGATGTGGCGGTACATCATGTTTGTCTCTTCTGGATTCTTCTGTATTCATGTTTGCAATGTTTTATGAAACTTGGGATTTTATCATTCCATTCTTCACACCCAATTTATAATTGCTTTAAAAAATCAGCTTCTGAAAATGCAGGCATTTTATCTATTGAATGAACTGATGAAGCATTATAGAAGTGTTCTAAAATAGCAGTGTTCCAAAAGAGCCAGACACAACCTGAAA